AAAAAAAAAAAAAAATACAGAAAACCTTTACAATATGAGTATCTGTGATCTCAGTGCAGGGAGGGATTATTTCTTAAATGATATACCAAAAAAAAAAAGCACAAATCATAAAAGATAAAGTTGGTAAGTCTGATAACACTAAAACTAGAATCATCTGTGTAAGAGACGACTTCATAAAGTTAAAAAAGAAGCCAAAAAATGGGGAAAAGGTTACTATAGATTTGAAACATATAAAAACAAAGCAAACAAAGTGGGTAATTGACAGAAACAAGTAATAGAAAAGAAAACCTAGAGAGCTTATTAGACACATGAACAAGATGCCCAGCATCACTAGTGATCAGGGGAATGCAAATTAGAATAACAAGATGCCATTTCACACCTGTTGCACCTGTTAGATTGGGCAAAAATGTAAAAATCTGATAGAACCAAGTGTGTAAAATATATGGGAAATAAAGCTCTTAGGTTCTCAAAGTTTTTTTTTTTTTTTTTTTTTGAGATGGAGTCTCACTGTGTCCCCCAGGCTGGAGTGCAGAATTGCGATCTCGGCTCACTACAGCCTCCGCCTTCTGGGTTCAAGCAATTCTCTGCCTCAGTCTCCCAAGTACCTGGGATTACAGGCATCCGCCACCACACCCAGCTAATTTTTGTATTTTTAGCAAAGATGGGATTTCACCATGTCGGCCAGGCTGGTCTTGAACTCCTGACTTTGTGATCCTCCCGCCTCATCCTCCCAAAGTGCTGGGATTACAGCTTCGAGCCACCATGCCCAGCCTTGTTTGGTATTTTTAGTAGAGACGGGCTTTCACCATGTTGGCCAGGCTGGTCTGAAACTCCTGACCTCGTGATCTGCCGGTCTCAATGTGTTGCACAGGCTGGAGTGTAATGGCACAATCATAGCTTACTGCAGCTTTGAACTTCCGGGCATAAGTGATTCTCCTGCTTTGGCTTCCCCAAAGTAGCAGGAACACATCACTACATCCAGCTAATTTTTACTTTTTTTGTAGAGATGAGGGTCTTGCTATGTTGCCCAAGCTGGTCTTGAACTCCTGGCCTCTAGTGATCCTCCTGCCTCAGCCTCCTGAAGTGTGGGATTACAGATGTGAGCCACTGTGCTCCACAAATTCTTATGTTGTTTTTTGTTTTTGTTTTTTGAAACAGTCTTGCTCTGTCGCCAGGCTGGAGTGCAGTGGTGCGATCTCAGCTCACTGCAACCTCTGCCTCCCGGGTTCAAGGGAGTTTCACCATGTTGGCAGGATGGTTTTGATCTCTTGACCTCATGATTCGTTCACCCTGGCCTCCCAAAGTGCTAGGATTACAGGCGTGAGCCACCACACCCGGCCAAATTCTTACATTTTTACAACTCACTTTGGAGAGGCATTAAATAAAGCTGGATTGGCTAGAGAATGACAACTGCAGAACTTGAACTTGTAGCTGGGATTACAGGCACCTGCCACCACGCCTGGCTAATTTTTTATTTTTAGTAGAGATGGGGTTTCGCCACGTTGGCTAGGCTGGTCTGGAACTCCTAGCCTCAGGTGATCCGCCCACCTCAGAGGTGTGAGCCACAGTTCCCAGCGGCAGCACTTTTTTAATAGGGGGAAAAAACAACGATGGGACAACTACCTGCCCCTCAGGAGGGAATAAACTGTAGGTTACAGTTTATTTTATTTATTTATTTTTTTGAGACAGAGTCTCGCTCTGTTGCCAGGCGCCAGGCTGGCGTGCAGTGGCTCGATCACAGCTCACTGCAACCTCCGCCTCCCGGGTCCAAGCAATTCTCCTGCCTCAGAGTCCCAAGTAGCTGGGACTACAGGCCCACGCCACCACGCCCAGCTAATTTTTGTATTTTTAGTACAGACGGGGTTTCACCATGTTGGTCAGGATGGTCTCCATCTCTTGACCTTGGGATCCGCACGCCTTGGCCTCCCAAAGTGCTGGGATTACAGGCGTGAGCCACCGCCTCCGGCTGGTTACAATTTATTTTACACAATGGAATTCATAAGCAGTTCAGATGAATAAATATAGGTATTCAAAGATAATTCTCAAAATCCATGTTGAGGCTAGACACGGTGGTGTCTACCTGGGAGGCTGAGGCAGGAGGACAGCCGGAGCCCAGGAGGTCGAGTCCAATCTGGGCAGCATAAGCAGTCTTCTATGGACAGCAAAAGAGGGACTATATCCCGCACAGTGCCCTGCAAATACGCATTCTCTCTATGTATCTACCTACCTACCTACCTACCTACCTATCTAGTCTGATATATTTATATTCTGATAAGTTCCTAATTATTAGATTAATATATATACTTAAGTTCCTAAGTAATTAGACTAATACATATATTCTAGTAATATGTAGTGATATTATATTCTAATATTAGACTAATACATATATTCCAGGATATAGATATATTAGACATCTATATTCTGATATAGTGTGTATCAGAGCAACTATTTCATACTTTTATATATGCAATATTTATGTAATGTACATATTCGTCTAAGGAATTTGTGTAGGCTAAGGGGTGCTTGCTGAATATGAGAGCAGGCCAGACAGGAACAAGATCGGATGCGAGTGGGTGGGGGGTGGAAAGGTCGAAGAATTTGGGAGCCAAATCTTGAGAGTTGGCGGGATAGGAGTGGTCTGGGAGAGGTCTGGAGGTTGCTGGGGCCGGAAGAGGTTACAATTCGACTGGGAAAAGAGTTGTCAGCACCGTACCTTTCTCATTGCGAACCGGGACGGCCCCAGCCGTAGACTGAATGGGCGGTTGCTTCATGAGAGCGCTTGGGACCGACATGTTGATGGCAGCGACGGTGATTCCCGAAACTTGGCTAATTCCAAACAGCGAACACCAACAACGTCAACGAAGAGAAAATATCCCTTCCACCTAGGTCCACGAACACAGCTGCTCGACTGATAGAGAAACCACTTACGGCTAAGCTAGATAAACCGGAAATACGTAACGAGGGGATTGTGGGATGGTGGAGGACGTTTGAGCGCCCACAACGAGGAAGTTGCGTCTGTTTCTTTGCCTGCTCTTCGGCTGCCCTCGGAAATTGGAAACCGCTTTTGGCGGGAAATTTTGCTTCTTTTGGGCTTTGCTGTTAGGACCCGTGGACCCTGCGGTGAGGAAGGCTCTAATGAAAGGTTCCACGTGTTAGGTTGGTTAGAAGCCAAGAACAGTATAGTGAATAAGAAACTGAGACGCCAGTGAGTTGCTGTTTGGCTTGTTGAAAGCTCAGAAAAAGTAGTTAGATGGAGTAAAAATCTTGGTAATGGCATCTGATTAGGTCAGTTGATGAGGCCATTGTGAGCTGTGGTGTAGTATTTGGTATCACACAGGACAGGTGGTGCTGATTTAGACCAGTGACAAAAAAAAAAAAAAGAAAAAAGAAAAATCCCCCAAGGTGCCTGAGACATTGCCTGCCCGAAATCTCCAAACTCCACTTCTAGGCTTTCAGGTTCTTCCACTGGTAGTTGGAAACTACCTGTTAAAATAAATTCCTGGCTGGAAAGTGTTTGTATTTAAGTTACTAGGTAATTATTATTTTGAGACAGGGTCTTGCTCTGTCACCCAGGCTGGAGTGCAGTGGCGCGATCTCGGCTTACAGCAGTCTCCTCCTCCTGGATTCAAGTAATTCTTGCGTCTCAGCCGTCTGAGTAGCTGTGATTACAAGCACCCGCCACCACCCCCTGCTGATTTTTGTATTTTTAGTAGAGGCGGTTTTACCGTGTTGGCCGGGCTCAAGGGATCCACCCACTCTGGCCTCCCACAGCCCGGTAAGTTTTGTATTTTTAGTAGAGACGAGGTTTCGCCATGTTGCTCAGGCTTGTTTTGAACTCCTGACCTCAGATGATCCACCCGCCTTGGCCTCCCAAAGTGCTGGGATTACAGATGTGAACCACCGCGGCCGGCCTATTTAAGAACTCTTTAAGGACTTGTAGAATAATAACAGAAGCAGCCCCAATTTACAAGCTGGGTTGTGTTAAAAAAAAAAAAAAAAATTGGAAAGTCAGGGCATATTTCACAGTAGGAAGGACTTTACCATTGTGGGGGATACAACGGACAGCAGAAACAGTCTTGCAGTCCAGAAACTGTGCATTAAACAGGACACCATGAAAAGTTTGGTTTTATCAGTAATTATTGAGTCATAGAGGGCCTTGAAGTTGCTGTTAATATGATTTACCCAAATTACTTCAACTGTATTCTACAGTTGGGCCTTGGGTGGGAGAAGAAATGAAACTGGGCAAGTCTCAGGCAAGTAACAGTGTGGGACCCAGTTAAGCAACTAAGGAAACAGTTTTGGGCTAGAAGGAACCTTAAATAGAAGAATAGCCAAAATCTTATTTTATTTTTATTTATAAAAGAGACAGGGTTTTGCTCTGTCGCCCAGGCTGGAGTGCCGCAGGATGGTGCCTCACTGTGGCCTCATCCTTCTAGGTTCAAACCATTTTCCCACCCCTGCCTTCCGAGTATCTGGGACTACAGATGCACAGCACCACGCAGGACTAATTTTTCTATTTTTTGTAGACATAGGGTCTCACTATGTTGCCTAGGCTGGTTTCCAAGTCCTGGGCTCAAGCGATCCGCTCCTCTCGGCCTCTCAAAGTGTTGGGATTACAGGCGTGAGCCACCGCGCCCGGCCTGCCAGTGTTTTTCAGAGCGGCATCCCAGTACCACCAGAATCAGAATCACCAGTCAAAGGTAAAAATGTCAATTCAGACCAAGTACATCCCCTGAAGAATTTTCAGCCTAGGGCTTTAAGATGGCTTTCTTAAGAGGCGCGCGTAACCCAGTCTTCCTGCTCTGGCGCTGCGACCGCGGGGGCGCGAGTGGGCTCCGCCGCGTCCCGGCCCCGCCCCATCCTGCCCTACAACTCCCGGCCTCGCTCCACCCCTCCCGGCCTCCTGCCGCAATCTTGGCGGGAAGGCGCCGGACGCTAAGAAGCCGAAAGATGTCCGGGTCGGGCGCGGCGGCTGAGAAGGCGGACCCCAGACAGCGACCCCAGATGAAGGTGAGAAACGGGTTCGTGCTTCCTGGTGTGCTTCTGCCTCGGTTTTTGTGGAGTTCTGCGGGATACAGGCCTGGGAGGTCGAGAGCACCTGGCATTGAGGGTAGGCGGGGATCCCTGCCCTGAGGCCTTTAGCGTTGTCGAAAAGTTTTAATCAGTAACCCTAGAAATAGTGGGAGGGTCAGAGCTGGGATTCGCTTTCTTCAGCCCTCTACGTTTGCTTTTGCCACACTTACGGTCAGCTTCACACTCTAAATCATTCCATCCGCAGCTGGCAGTTGGGGTAGTTGCCTCTGTCATAAACGCTAGTCATTATTATTATTGGTCTGGCAAACTCTTACGGGCAAGAAATGTGCCAAGTAAATGAATTCTGTTGAGGTTAAGGTTAATGAATTACATATCTAGATTTTGGAAGGGAGAAAAAGTTTTCTTACAGGCTGTCAATTTGGATTTATTTATTTATTTGAGACATAGTCTCGCTCTGTTGCCCAGGCTGGTGTGGAGCGGCGCAATCTCGGCCCATTGCAACCTTCGCCTCCTGGAGTTCAAGCAATCCTCCTGCCTCAGCCTCCCAAGTAGCTAGGATTACAGGCAGGCGCCACCACACTCAGCTTATTTTTCTATTTTTAGTAGAAACGGGGTTTCATCCTGTTGGCCAGGCTGGTCTTGAGCTCCTGACCTCAGGTGATCCACCTTCCTTGGCCTCCCAAAGTGCTCGGATTGCAGGTGTGAGCCACCTCACCTGGCCTCAATTTGGATTTATATTGTCATTGTGAAATGGGAATTATTAGATCTGTTGGGCATCCTGTAAGGAAAGGCACAGGACTTGGAATTCTTATATTCTCTTTTCTTTTATTGATCTGAATAGGTAAATGAATATAAAGAAAATCAAAACATCGCTTATGTGTCTCTGAAACCAGTACAGACTACAGTTTCAATAAAAACAGCTACAGTCTATCTTACCCCCTTTTCCCTCAGTAATTATCAGCTAGACCAGCTTATGTGCCCCAAATCCCTATTAGAAAAGAATTCTAACAATGAAGTGGCCTGTAAGAAGACTAAAATAAAGAAAACTTGCAGGAGGATTATACCTCCAAAGATGAAAACCACATCTTCCAAGGCAGAATCCACACTGCAAAATCCATCCTCAGCTGTTCATACTGAAAGTAACAAGCTACAACACGAGAGAACGACAGATGCGATGAATCTCGGTGTTGATATGGAAAGTAGTCAGGATGGAGACAGTGATGAAGATACCACACCAGGCCTGGTAAGAACTTAATTAGTAGCTTGTTCTAGTTTCTCTTACAGTTTGGAAATTTGACATTCTGATAAAGCGAAGTTTATCAAGGATCTCTCTAATACAAACAAATTATTTCATCATTAATGTAAGTATAAATGTAACAATAAATTTCTATAATTTTTAAGGTTTAACAAATAACTTCCTTGGATTAATTTTGCTCTTGCTGTTGTGTCAATGAGAGGATTGACTTAATCTTTACTCGGTTTCCCTTTTTCTCCCTCCAAACTTACTGCATTTATTTTTGGGCTTAGTCATACTTTATGGTGCCTTGCTCACCTTTACATGTTTATGTACAATATATCAGAAGTCATCAGTTTGTGGGACATAAGGTATTGACTGACCCTTGATATCAGGGTAGGGAAACATTAATTGATTATATTGATTTGTTGAATATATTTCCTTTAAATGCAAAAGCAGACAAATGATAGAATAGAGAAGATACATGAGAAACACATTAGTTCTATATAATTCCAATCAATTTAAGGAATTTGGTTTGTAATTTTTTTTTTTTTTTTTTTT